CAATTTGACAAAATCGTCCGCTCAACCCATGGCGTGAACTGTACTGGCTCATGCTCATGGAAAATCTACGTCAAAAACGGACTGGTCACTTGGGAAACCCAACAAACCGACTACCCTCGTACTCGCCCAGACCTACCAAATCACGAACCGCGCGGCTGTCCACGTGGCGCATCATACAGTTGGTACATGTACTCAGCAAACCGCCTAAAATACCCAAAAGTCCGTAAACCACTATTAAAACTTTGGCGTGAAGCACGCGCCCAATACGCCGATCCTGTCGAAGCATGGGGTAGCATCGTTTCTGATCCTGCCAAAACCGAACAATACAAATCAAAACGCGGTCTAGGTGGCTTTGTGCGTTCCACTTGGAATGAGGTTAATGAAATCATCGCCGCTGCCAACGTCTATACTGCCAAAACCTTTGGTCCCGATCGCATCATTGGCTTTTCGCCAATTCCAGCCATGTCGATGGTCCGCTATGCTGCCGTAGCCGCTACTTATCATTAATCGGTGGTGTGTGTTTGTCGTTTTATGATTGGTATTGTGACTTACCACCTGCCTCACCAATGGTATGGGGTGAACAGACTGACGTTCCTGAAGCGGCTGACTGGTATAACTCAAACTATATTATCGCTTGGGGTTCAAACGTACCGCAGACCCGTACGCCAGACGCTCACTTTTTTACCGAAGTACGTTATAAAGGCACTAAAACCGTCGCTATTACCCCGGACTATGCTGAAATCTCCAAATTATGTGACCTTTGGCTTAACCCTAAACAAGGTACTGATGCGGCAATGGGTCAAGCCTTCTGTCATGTGATTATGAAAGAGTTTTATCTCAATAATCCAAGTGACTATTTTGTCGATTATGCCAAACGCTACACTGACTTACCGATGCTTGTGATGGTCGAAGGCGAAGGTCGTGAACTGCGTGCAGGACGTTTCTTGCGTGCTTCAGATTTGACAGGTAATCTGGGTCAAGACAATAACCCAGAATGGAAAACCATTGCGATCAACCAAAATGGTGAACTCGTCTCGCCACAAGGCTCAATCGGCTATCGTTGGGGCAAAGAAGACCGTGACGATAAAGGTAAATGGAACATCGAAGCCCGTGACGGAACGACAGGCGCAGAGATTGATTTAGCCCTGAGTCAAAAAGACAGTGGTGATAGTGTCGAAGTTGGACTTGATTATTTTGGCGGCGATGAACACCCTTATTTTGCGGCTGCTAAAGGCGATGCCATTCAGTACAAAACTGTACCTTGCCGTACTATCAATCTTGCCAATGGTCAAACTGCCAAGGTTGTCACTGTGTTTGACCTCATGGTGGCTAACTTAGGTATCGACAATGGTCTTGGCGGTCAGCATGTTACCAACGACTATAACGATGCAACAGTAGCAGGCACGCCTGCATGGCAAGAGACTATCACAGGCGTAAGCCGTGAAAAAGTCATCCAAATTGCGCGTGAATTTGCCGACAATGCTCACAAAACCCATGGTAAATCGATGATTATCATCGGTGCAGGTATGAACCACTGGTATCACCTTGATATGAACTACCGTGGTGTTATCAATATGCTCATGCTATGTGGTTGTATCGGTAAATCAGGCGGTGGCTGGGCGCACTATGTTGGCCAAGAAAAATTACGCCCACAAACAGGGTGGGCACCGCTTGCCTTTGCCCTTGACTGGCATCGTCCGCCACGCCATATGAATGGTACAAGCTTCTTCTATAACCATAGCTCACAATGGCGTTATGAAAAACTCTCTGCGCATGAATTGTTGTCGCCACATGCCAACAAATCCATGTTCCCAGAGCATATGCTCGACTACAACATCCGTGCAGAACGTGCCGGTTGGTTACCATCCGCACCACAGTTAGACCGTAACCCATTGACAATTGCAGCCGCGGCACGTGCGCGTGGTATTAATGTTGAAGATTATGTGGTCGAAAGCTTACAAAATGGTAGCCTAAAATTTGCTGCCGAAAGCCCAGATAACCCTGCCAACTTCCCTCGCAATATGTTTATTTGGCGTTCAAACTTGCTTGGCTCATCGGGCAAAGGGCATGAATATATGCTCAAATACTTGCTTGGTACCAAAAACGGTGTATTAGGTGAAGAAACCGTTGCCGAATTGCGTCCACACGAAGTCGAATGGATCGAAAACGCTCCTACCGGCAAACTTGACCTAGTAACGACCCTAGATTTTCGTATGTCCTCAACCTGTCTATACTCCGATATCGTGTTGCCCACGGCCACATGGTACGAAAAAGATGACATGAATACCTCGGATATGCACCCATTTATTCACCCGTTGACCGCAGCGACCGACCCTGCGTGGGAATCCAAAACTGACTGGGAAATTTATAAAGGCATCGCCAAAACTTTCTCAGCGTTATCAGTGAAACATTTGGGCGTCGAGACTGACGTGGTCACCTTGCCGATGCAACACGATAGCCCAGGCGAATTGGCACAACCATTTGGTGGTACTGACTGGAAAACCGCAGACGTTGCACCTGTCCCTGGTAAAAACTGTCCAATGTTTAAAGTCATTGAGCGTGATTATCCTAGCACCTATGCCAAATACACCTCACTTGGCGGTCTAATGGATACGCTCGGCAATGGCTCAAAAGGTATCAACTGGAATACCGTGGAAGAAGTCGGCAATTTAGGCGATTTAAATTACCGAGTCACTGAGCCAACGGTTTCTCAAGGTCGCCCTCGTATCAACACGGCGATTGATGCGGCCGAAACCATCTTGATGCTTGCGCCAGAAACCAACGGCCATGTAGCGGTCAAAGCATGGGCGGATTTGTCTAAAACCACGGGGCGTGACCATACGCATTTGGCAAAATCCAGCGAACATGAAAAAATCCGTTTCCGTGATATCGTGGCACAGCCTCGTAAAATTATCTCAAGCCCGACTTGGTCAGGTTTGGAGAGCGAAAAAGTGAGCTATAATGCAGGCTACACCAACGTACACGAACTCATTCCTTGGCGTACAATTACTGGTCGTCAGCAGTTTTATCAAGACCACCCTTGGATGCAAGCATTCGGTGAGCAAATGCAACAATATCGCCCACCGATTGATACCAAGGCAACTGAGGCTTTTAGCGGTTATAAATCCAATGGCAATCCTGAAGTGGTACTGAACTTCTTAACACCGCACCAAAAATGGGGCATTCACAGTACCTACTCTGAAAACTTGCTGATGCTGACCCTAAGCCGTGGCGGTCCTTGTGTCTGGATGAGTGAAATTGATGCTCGTAAAGCAGGTATCGTCGATAACGACTGGATTGAAGTGTTCAATGCCAACGGTTCTATCGTCGCTCGTGCTGTGGTATCACAGCGGGTCAAAGAAGGCATGACCATGATGTACCATGCCCAAGAAAAACTGGTCAATATTCCAGGCTCTGAATCAACAGGTACTCGCGGTGGTATCCATAACTCAGTGACCCGTGCCGTACTTAAGCCTACTCATATGATTGGGGGCTATGCACAACAAGCTTACGGCTTTAACTACTATGGTACAGTCGGTTGTAACCGTGACGAGTTTGTATTGGTGCGTAAAGTTGCCAAAGTTGATTGGCTAGAAGGCAAACCAGACGACGAGCTACCAAGACCGCTCGCTACCACTTTAGACTAATAGCAAACGACCTTTGGTGAATAGTAAATAGACTTAAGCTTTGTCACACTGCTATTCATCAAATTTTAAAAACATGTCTTGCTAACAAAAACATATTCGGAGCAATCCTATGAAAATACGCTCACAAGTTGGTATGGTACTAAACCTTGACAAATGTATTGGTTGCCATACCTGTTCCGTCACTGGTAAAAACGTCTGGACAAGCCGTGAAGGCATGGAATACGCCTGGTTCAACAATGTTGAAAGCAAACCCGGTATCGGCTACCCAAAAGAATGGGAAAACCAAAAAAAATGGAACGGTGGCTGGATTCGTAATGCTGACGGTTCAATCAACCCAAAAATCGGTGGTAAATTCCGTATTCTTGCCAATATTTTTGCCAACCCAGATTTGCCAAGTATTGACGACTACTACGAACCGTTCGATTTTGACTATCAACATCTTCACACCGCCCCAATCAGCGAACACCAACCAATTGCTCGTCCACGCTCGCTTATCACAGGCAAGCGTATGCAAAAAATCGAATGGGGGCCAAACTGGGAAGAAATTCTAGGTTCAGAGTTTGAAAAACGTCGCCGTGACAAAAACTTTGAAAACATCCAAGCCGACATCTACGGACAATACGAAAACACCTTTATGATGTACTTGCCACGCCTATGTGAGCACTGCTTGAACCCAACGTGTGTGGCATCATGTCCATCAGGTGCGATTTACAAACGTGAAGAAGACGGTATTGTATTGATTGACCAAGAAAAATGCCGTGGTTGGCGTATGTGTATCTCTGGTTGCCCATACAAAAAAATCTACTACAACTGGAAAACCGGCAAATCTGAAAAATGTATCTTCTGTTACCCACGTATCGAAGCCGGTATGCCAACCGTATGCTCAGAAACTTGTGTTGGTCGTATCCGCTACCTTGGCGTATTGCTATATGATGCCGATAAAATCAAAGAAGTCGCCAGCATCACTAACGAAAAAGATTTGTATCAAGCCCAACTCGATATCTTCCTAAACCCACATGACCCAGTAGTGATTGAGCAGGCATTGCGTGATGGTGTAGACATGTCAGTCATCGAGTCGGCGCAAAATTCGCTCGCCTGTCTAATGGCAGTGGACTGGAAACTGGCATTGCCACTACACCCAGAATATCGCACCTTGCCAATGGTGTGGTACGTGCCACCACTCTCACCGATCCAAAATGCTGCTGAAGCAGGGCAAATTGGCATGAATGGTATCTTGCCAGACGTAGATAGCTTGCGTATTCCAATGCAATACCTAGCCAACATGCTAACTGCCGGTGATGAAGCGCCTGTGACTGGAAACTGGCATTGCCACTACACCCAGAATATCGCACCTTGCCAATGGTGTGGTACGTGCCACCACTCTCACCGATCCAAAATGCTGCTGAAGCAGGGCAAATTGGCATGAATGGTATCTTGCCAGACGTAGATAGCTTGCGTATTCCAATGCAATACCTAGCCAACATGCTAACTGCCGGTGATGAAGCGCCTGTACGATTGGCACTCAAACGCTTACTTGCGATGCGTGCTTACAAACGCGCCCAACAGGTCGACAATATTGAGCTAACCCAAGTGATTGACGATGTTAGCTTAACACCGCTACAAGTCGAAGATATGTACCGTTATTTGGCGATTGCCAACTATGAAGATCGATTTGTTATCCCTACTGCTCACCGTGAAGAAGCGTTAAGCGATGCCTTTGCAGAACGTAACGGTTGTGGCTTTACATTTGGTAGTGGCTGTAATGGTGAATCGGAAAATCACATGTTCGGTCAAAAGAAAAATAACCGCCGTGACTTTAGCAAAACCATACAAACTTGGGAGGTATAAATGACGACTAACCGAACCGTACAAACGGACATGCGATTACTGAAAGTGATCAGCGTCCTTATGGATTACCCAAGTCACGAATTGTTTGCTGATGATACCTTAAGTGAGTGTAAAGCGATTGTCATGAACAGTCGCCTTATTAGCCCACAAGTACGTCAAGAAATCGCTGATTTTATCGATGATATGGTAGCGGCTGGGGGGAAGGGGCACGTTATGACAGCTTGTTTGAGCGTGGTCGTTCGCTGTCGCTGTGGCTTTTTGAACATGTGCATGGTGAAAGCCGTGACCGTGGTCAAGCCATGGTTGACCTGATGGCGCAATACGAAGCAGCAGGCTTTGAAATTGGTGTGAAAGAATTGCCTGATTATCTACCAATGTATCTTGAGTATTTGGCATACCAAGCAACGGGTACCGATGATGAAATGCAAATCCGTCAAGACATTGCGGACGTAAGTCACATCGTTGCTGTATTGGCTGCACGTTTGATTGATAAGAATAGCCAATATGTGGGGTTATTTAAAGCCTTGCTACAGGTGGCGGGCGAGCCGCTCACTGTGATTGATGACGAGCTTGCCAAAATCAATAAGGCGAATGCACCTGCGGATGATACCATCGAAGCGATTGACCACGAGTGGGAAGGAGAAATGGTGGATTTCTTGGGCGCAGAGCAAGAGAACTGCCCAACCAGTCAAACCAAACAACGTATCGCCACGCTACAAGGTGAACAAGCCCAACGCCAAGCTGAAGTGCCAGTGCATTGGGTCGATTTCGCCACAACGAATTCAAAACCATTAACCAATAATCCATCTGCCTTGAGCACTGACGTACAAGGAGAGCTATTATGAATATCGCACCACCTAGTTATGAAGCATTGGCCGACTTAAATTTATTACAAGTCTTTTTATTCGGTATTTATCCCTATATTGCCTTGGTTGTTGCTATCTTAGGGAGTTGGGCACGTTTTGATTTGTCACAATACTCTTGGAAAACCAGCTCTTCTCAAATGCTACAACCCAAGTATATGCGTATAGGCAGCAATTTATTTCATATTGGCATAATCACTGTGTTGCTTGGTCACCTGTTTGGGATGCTAACGCCACATTTTATTTATGAGAACTTTATCAGTGCTGCTCATAAGCAAATTTTAGCGGTAGTCGTAGGGGGTATTGCAGGTGTAGTATGTTGGTTTGGTATGGTATTGTTGATGATTCGACGTTTTACCGACCCACGTATTTCTAACACATCAACTTTTAGTGATAAGTTAGTGCTAATCCTGTTATTTATTCAGTTAAATCTAGGGTTATTATCAATTTTTACGTCGATGAAGCATCTGGATGGTGCAACCATGATGAACTTAGCGGGTTGGGCATTACTATCTTACGTCCTTGGCAAGCAGCTGCACGTATTAAACAAGCGGAAAGCGGATATCAAATTCATATGGCATTAGGGATATGAACTTAGCGGGTTGGGCACAGGATATTACTATCTTACGTCCTTGGCAAGCAGCTGCACGTATTAAACAAGCGGATTTGATTTATCAAATTCATATGGCATTAGGGATTACATTAGTAATGATATTCCCATTTACTCGTTTGAT